AATCTAGGGCCGAGAGAGAGCATTGAAAGAATTCCTCTAGCAGATACGACTGGACCATCAAGAACCCCTGATTCGCGCTACTCTAGTGAATACGTACGAGATAGCCCATCTTCGCAAGCAATGCACTGGGACAGCCACACGAGGAGGCTAGTAGTATCTACTGAGAATACCCCCGCAAGTGTACAAGATGGCGAATCTAGCCCCGACTCTATAAGGCGAACTTCGAGCGACTATACCGCTAATGGGCCATCATCCCTTGCTTTGGGGGCTGCTTCGAGCGCTTTAAACGCACTTACCATACAGGAAAGACGGGAGTCTAGCCCTACGGCAAAACGCACATCGAGGCCCAGAAGAAGAACAGGATCACTAAACGACGAATCGAATAAAGCTACTACTTCCAGTTCATCCCTATCCAAACCTAGCCCGAGAGCCAGTTCAAAAGAATCGCCCATCAGAAGGAAACCAGTCGAGACTCGCAGAACCCCCGAACCAAATAGCGCTAGGAAGAGAATCAGCCGCCTGAGGTTAGATCGTGAAATAACCGACAGATCGGTTTCTGATGATGAAGATACCACAACAAGCCCTTCTCGTACCCGGAGATCTAAAGGCAAGCAGAGGGAATCCCCTTTGACTGCGGAAACGGAGACGATGTACTCAGAAGGCTCGAGAGAAGATGAAGACACAAGGACTTTGAGTGATTGGGGTAGGAGGAAGCAAAAAATGCTCAAGAGCCTTCCCCCGGGTGTAGATGCGGCAGCAGCGAAAGCCATATTTAACGAAATCGTGGTTCATGGTGATGAGGTTCATTGGGGAGATGTGGCTGGATTGGAAATCGCCAAGACTGCTCTGAGAGAAGCCGTGGTGTATCCGTTCTTACGACCCGACTTATTCATGGGCCTTCGCGAACCAGCTAGGGGCATGTTGCTCTTTGGGCCACCGGGGACAGGGAAGACGATGCTAGCTCGGGCCGTCGCGACGGAATCGAAGTCTACATTCTTCTCTATCTCGTCGAGCAGCTTGACAAGTAAATATCTCGGAGAATCTGAGAAGCTCGTACGCGCCCTCTTTGCCCTGGCAAAGGCCATGGCCCCCAGCATTATCTTTGTTGACGAAATAGACTCCCTGCTCTCCCAAAGATCCGGATCTGGGGACCATGAGGCTACGCGAAGGATTAAGACCGAGTTTCTCATCCAATGGAGTGATCTGCAGAGGGCTGCTGCAGGGCGTGAGAGTAGCGGGGGAGGGGGTAAAGAGAAGGGCGATGTAAATCAGGTTCTTGTCTTAGCGGCTACCAACCTGCCGTGGGCTATTGACGAAGCCGCGAGACGCCGATTCGTGAGACGGCAATATATCCCTCTGCCTGAATCAGGAACCAGAGCAACGCAGTTGAAAACGCTGCTTGGCCAACAGAAGCACAGTCTTACAGATGCCGATATTACGAAGCTCGTAAGCCTAACGGAAGGTATGGTTTATATCATAAGCTCCCGACTTCTGCGTAAGAGCGTCTACATGCAATGTGCTAATGAATTTTGATTCTCAATCTAGGATTTTCCGGCTCCGACATTACGGCACTAGCTAAAGATGCAGCGATGGGACCCCTGCGCTCGCTTGGAGAGGCTCTCCTCCACATGACGATGGATCAGATACGGCCGATAGAAATCGGCGACTTTGAAGCTAGTCTCCAGACGATCCGTCCTAGCGTGAGTAGGGAAGGGTTGAAGGAATACGAAGATTGGGCGAAGAAGTTTGGTGAGCGTGGCGGATGATATGGGTGTGTGTGCGTGTGTGTGTGTGTGTGTGTGTGTTGGGGAGGGGAGGGACGGTATATAAATAGATATGCTTCATCACAATTTTGGGAACGTTGAAACTCCACAACAGGTTATAAATAAGGGGAGGTTGGGAGTGAAAAGGGAAGAGGATAAGTTTGGTCAAGGGGAAGGATGGGAACATAGAATAGATAGGATAAGGAAAGAAAGGGTCAGAGAGTCTCGAGGTCTGACGAACTACTACTACTACTACCACCACCACCACCACTATTGATATTGTGTACATGTATGTACGTGGTATTGGAATAACCTATATGTCATATTATACAGAGAACAAGATACTGTGAGAAGATGTCTACCTTTTTACTCAGTACTTACCTCCTATGTATGAAATCTCAATAACGTAGTCAAATATCACTCCACGCATCAGTCACGCATCGTTTAAAAGACACGCATCGTTTAAAATAACCATATATACAAGCTGTACATAACGGCAATATCAAAGATAAATGTTGTTACATTAATGCCCTGTGCATGTATATACACATAGACATATCTATATACACTTTGGTAGAGTGTCGACTAGCCATCCTTCTGTCTCTCTGTGCCTTTTTCCTGTCCCTGTCCCTCTCCCCCGGGCATCGTTAACAATATAACACAGATAGGTAGGTTAGGGAAGAGGGGGGAGAAAGAGGAGAGAGTGACGGGATATATATCTTCTTGCCCAATTCATCATTAGATCCGAGACCAACTCTGCATGATTCGTTTCTTTCTTTCTCTTTTTTCTTCTTCTTATTTTCCCATCCTCATCAAAACACCATTTTCTTCTTTTCCTTTTCCTTCTCTATACTCTATTCGTCACATCATCACCTCCATACTTTTCTGCATCCCATCCCATCCCATCCCGCACCTCCCCTTTCCTATTTCCTTACCTAAACTTACACAAATCAGCTATCCCCTCCCATTTTTGGTTTCTTTCTCGTCTCTTCAATCCACATCATCCGGACTTGTCATTGCCGCCGCCGGCTTCTGTTTCGGTTCCGGAGGAGCCAGACCAGCGGCGATGAGCTTACCCTTCTTCTTGGCCTCCTTCCGGGCGATGTGCTCGGCGCGGGCCTCGGCGCGCACACGGGCGCGCTCGTCCTTGATGACCTTGCGGCGCTCGTCTTTGCGGGCGCGCTTCTCGGCCCGCTCGGCCACGCGCTCCTCCAGCGTGGGCACCGCGGGCCGCGCCTCGATGGGCTCCCCGAAGGGGGCGATGATATGCTTGATCACATGGCGCACGTGCCGCGACACGCGCCAGCTAGGCGTGATGGCCACTACGTCACCCAGGCGCACTGAATTGCGTGGATCGTGGACGAGCTTGCATTGTGGTTGCTTGAAGTACTATTTTGGGGGCAGGGGAGAAGAGAAGGGAGATTAGTAAGGGAGATAATGTCTTTAGAGGAAAAGGGGGAGAGGGAGGAAAAGAGGGGAAAAAAAAATTAAAAAAAAAAAAAAAGGGGGGGGGGGGGGGATATATAAGGGGAGATGATATGAAATAGAGGACAAGGGAGGAAAGGAACAAGAGAAACAGGTGAATATAAATATATAAATATATTTATATATCCAAGTAGAGAGGTTCCTTTTTTCCAGTTGAAAGGAATCGCACCCACCTTTCGCACCCTGGGTTCCCATCGCACCCCACCCAGCTTCACCTTCACTGTCCTGTTCATCAGGCCAGCCGAGACGACAACGCCATGCATTTCCTTTGCTGCTCTTCTCACAACTGTGCTTGCCGCTGTCGCAGCAGCAGCTACAGCTTCTGTGGCTGCTGTGGCTGCTGACATTTTTGTTCCCTTTGACTCCTCTTTACCTCTCCTTCTTCCCTCTTTCTTTTTTCTTTCCCCCACCTCTTGCGGCTCTTAATTGTTCAGTCCCCCTTCCTCCTGTTTTCCGAGGTCTTTTCTTGGTGTTGATCGCTTGTCTATGTCGGAAATCTGTCTCACGAATTTGTACTTTTGTCTGATACTGCGATACTGCTCTGTCCGTGTAGGTGTATCTATATGGGGGGATGTGTTGTTCGGTCTTTTGGTGATCCCAGAAATTTAGAGAAAGGCCTTGGCCTTGGCCTTGGTTTATCGATTAGAATCCGTTTTGGCGGACAGCTGGCAGGCTAAGTTGTTTGCACTTGGTGGGGCTGTATAAGCCACATTTCCGCTATCATCCCCAGTCCCGCCCGGCAGGACCTAGCGGAACCCACTTCAGTCATCTCCAGTAAGAGTCTCCCCCTAAGAGCCTCATTATCGTCATTTCATCTGGTCAACATTGCCTTTACTTCAATTCCATTCGAAAAAAATGAATTTCAGTCACAATCCTGCAAATCAACAGTTAAACTCCTTCCTTCATGTTGACCCTCCTATTCGAAGATTTGAGAACTTGAGTTATCCTCAGTCAGGGGCATCGGATCAGGAAAGGGGTAAGTCTAGATAGAAGCATCTATATTTCTATACTTGGAGATATAAACCAACCATTTGTTTGATGGCTCTACGTCAAGGTCATCATATACTATCCTTGACATGTTATCATCAGTAATGCTAAGAAAGGGATTCCTTAAAAAAAAAACCAGGATGCTAGCTACGCGCCTCGGAGATCTATCTCTAATGGCACCTCGGTGAGAGAATGTAGCCTTATTAATTTCACATATCCACGATGCTGCCCTCTATGAATAAAACCCTGTGTTTGATTATTATATATAGGTACCTAGGTACATATGTATATATATACACTAAAAGATCATCCTGAAGAAGGGATTCTAGTTTACAGGATGACAGACTTCCACGTTGGCTCTGATTAACTATATGATGTCTAGCGTGGAATCATCATGAAGATGCTAAATGAAGATGTTAATACTACTAGGCTGAAGTATAGAATAATTCACGTATAAAGGATAAACTGATATATTCTGTCTATCTAGTAATACCTATGATACTAAATTCTGCTAGCTCTACAAAAGGCATAAATGGTCCTTGAATTTGAAATGGTTATATTCAAATGCCCTCATATATCTACTAAACACTGATATTTATGGGATGAGTATCTCGATGATTTTATATATCTCCACATCTATGAACACATATTTCTAGCTATAGTATGATATCCATAGGTACTGTGTGCAGTAAAGAAGAAGAAAGGGGTAGAAAGGGGAAAAGCAAAAAGTAATTAAAGAAAAAAAAAATAGAACACAGAATTTTTGGGCACCTAGGGGATTCGAACCCCTGACATCTCCCATTGTTAAAGTCCCAAAGGGAGCGCGATAACCTCTTCGCCAAGGTACCCATAGCAACGCCGATTTCTCTGCTTTGTTGAGAAGCAGCTGTCTGTTTTGACTTATAAGTTGTATGTCGGGGTCCTCGGTAACGAGTCTGCATGATTTCCTCTTGCCCCATGCACCAAAAATAAGTGAAGGTGACTGACTTGTTTTCTATATTATTGCCTATTTCAACAAGAATCCATCTTCAGGTCGCCCCCTACCCCTCAATATGGTCATATTTCTGCTCACTTTGAATTCCTAAGCGGCAGCCTAGACGATTCCTTTTTGATATTGTTGGTAACCATCCTATCATCATCCTCAATGACAAAGGTACTTTATCATCATCTTCACTGATGGTAGATTGACAGAATTGGCACATTATGTCACGACCCCGTGAAGCTAAGGCGCTAATGCTCTAGGAACCATTCATATTAGGGCATATAGTGTATATATTTATCTGGGAAGAGTATTACGTATTGATACCACTTAACCACTAGTCTATTTCTTCTTCAATCTCTTATTGAGTCAACTAACCCTAGAATATAACAAACACAGGCGACCTCTGGCTAGAAAAACAAACTTTGATACGTTCAACAAGCGGCTTACAGCATATTATCTACCCCGATACAACTTCTTTACACTAGTATACCCTTGGCCACCTGAATACTTAGGATACTCTTCATAATGTGGTAGAACGAGGTCAACAACAAACAGACTAAGACACCTGAACATGCACTCCAACTTGACCACCCTGAAAGGTTCACTTGACTCGCACGGCATCACCTCCAATCTCTATGAGAGAAGATCCCTAGACTTGTACACAGTCTCATCTTGCCTGTCTCACTCACAAAAGAAACCCGTGTATGCTGGGCTAGAGAAATACATGCCTCCGGGAGCTTACTTAAACCAATGGGCTGCTTCTTGCCATAAAAAATAGCAATGCTTGGAGCTGCATTCGGACGTTGAAAGCGACAGAGATCTACCTACAACTGGTGAGTGATGGATGTATCAGTTCCGGTGATATCATTATCGTTGTTGTCGTATTCACGCATATACCTTTTCATATTGGACCAGGGCTTCGCTTAGGAGTTCAGCCGCATCGCTGTGCCCGAATACCCCTATATGTATAAGAAGACGCTGCACCATCTGAGCTGAGCCTGTGCTGATCTTGCTCCAATATGGCAGGTGTTCAAGGATCAGGTGAATGAACATGTATGCGCTGCGTATGCAACTTGCTAAATAAGGTTGTTTATAGAGATCTATTGCTACTTCTAGGGCCATGGAAAGATTTCTCTAGTTTGGACTCCCTGTATTCGATTTCTCACAAAGTTTAGGGCTTTCTGGCACACGATGAAGAACACATCACAGGCTATCACGTTATTGAACTTAGTTAGGGTGAGAGGGGGTTCGAAGGCTTAGGCCTGGAAGTATTAGAATGACTGGTAAACGACCAAAGAGCCCCTTGTTCGTATATGGACTGCAACAGATGTACCTGTGGTTCTGCTTCTTCATATAGCGATAGCCTTACGATTCTTATGGCGCGTGTGTGTGTGTGCATAGAATGCAACAATTCATGCCTTTGTTCTATCGTTATCAGCATCTGCATGTACACCGTGATCTAGGATTAGAATCTTCTACCGCTTAAAAGAGGTTTGGGCTTTGACTAATAAGTTCAGTATAGCCCCAAACAAATAAAGCCTGATTTTAAGATCCCTCAGTAGAATATGAATTGTCCCTCAGAGTAAGCCATAAGAATTCAGTGTAAATATATGGAATATAGCTAAGAAGAAGAGATTGTAGCTTATATTCTTATTGCCATAATGGGACATTCCCTCACCCTGACAACATACTTGTCTTCTACTGACTGGTTAAAGATGTATTTATTTACCCACATAGGAAGACTTCAGAAATGGATAGAGTCAATTAAAGTATAGGGGTAATCTCTCTTGGATAAGGAGAGCCTCGGTATATTCTTCGCGATACTACTGCAGGGACAGAATGTTGAATATAAAGGGAATTGGGGGTGGTGCAAGACCAAAGAACCTATATAATGTTTGAATTATAGGGAGTGTTGCTACTTATACTGATAATGAAAAAGATATACATGCTTACTTTAGGATAGCCCTTACCCTTCTGCTTTAGTTTGATGAGCATGCTCCTCCCTCTTCAAATGGTTTATTATCATAAATGTCCATTAGGAAAATAAGGATCGTTTGAGTAGTGTGGGCTGCGGGGGCAATGACTAGGCTTGGAATGGAACACGATCCACGTCACGTAACCTACGTTTCTGATAAGCATGCCTCTTCAGAAGCCTGGGGTAGCTCTCATGTTACTAGTCTGGGTCCGAATATGGGCTATAGTGATGATTGTGTCGGTTGAGAAATTCAGAATTTGCTTCCTGATTGTGATTGGTACTCAGACATGGGTATTCAGGTTTTGCTGTGTGGTATACTATCTCCTTCTCTACTAGGGTGAACTGAGGCTTCTAGCTATTTCATGATCCGGCGTAAGCTATAATATACCTTAGTATAGTCTATAGATGCCCTAGTTCCTTCAGGTGGAAGACAGCTTGAGCACCGCATATGATGACGCACACACGGGAAGAATATACCGAGTGGTCATTCGGTGGTAGTATTAGCCAGGCACACTGCGTGCGTGACTGCAGGGCGGGGGAGGCTAGCCAATATTCGGGTGCTACCGTACTGATACATAGGAAGGTGGTTTTCGTTAGATCGAGTATGGAAGTGCCATCTGGGCCGACGCTCCATCATGAGGGTTGTATCCATATATGAGGTAAGATGCGAGGATATGAATCCATCGTCACCTAACTAGGTTAACCTACCCAGGTAGAACCACCTAATCCACTATAAATTATATAGCCTGCATTGATCTGTCGGCCGACTCGGAACCATGTAAGTGCTTGATCCAAGAGCCCGGAGACGGCATAGATAGCTACTAGTTAGTTAACCGGCCGAGGGGTGTAGGATAGAGAGTAGTAAAGAAAATTCGGAAAAGCTCCGATTGGGTTCCAAACGCTGCCTGTATGCTCTCCTTGGCAAATGCATGTCATTAAGGGATGGTCTTCATACTATGGATTACAATGCGAGCACGCCATATTTTTCTTTCTTTGCTCTCCGATTGGTATGTACTTGAAACCGAATGCTTCAACGATGTCTCTTCGGGGCTATAGTGCGGTAGCAAGTATTCAGAACGCTGGTTATCAATGCGAGGGCATGCGTGAATGATAGCATAACCCTCCCCCCCCTTTCCCTCAAGCTCTGACCAACTCTACAATTCTATACTGAAGTCTAGATAAGCATGGAACTTGCTATGAGGGATGATCCGATGTCCAATGGAGTGAAGGTTGAATGAAGGTTACACGAAGCGGCTTACGACACTCACAAACATGCCAAGAAGCAAAGAGGCAATGATACTCTAGGCAATATGGTATGACTAGCAGGTTTGTCGAATAAGAGGGATGCGGTGACTAGCAAGTATTTACTAATTTTCGTATAACCAGTCAGTCAGTCAGTCAGTCTGTCTGTTAGCCAGTCTGTTAGTCAGTCCATGAAGGTCAGCATTTCCGTGTAGTGTAAGCTGACGTGGGCATGTCGTAGGAACGAATTAAACCTAGAGAGATAGAGAGAGGGAGAGGAAGAGGGAGAGGAAGAGGGAGAGGAAGAGGGAGAGGAAGAGGGAGAGGAAGAGGGAGAGGAAGAGGGAGAGGAAGAGGGAGAGAGAGGTAGACACTTCGTCCTCTCTGACTGGTGTGAGCCAGTCATTATTAGCATCTGGCCTGTCTCCAGCATTTTAGAAGCAAACCAAAGAGAATGTGTGGTAAAATGAGTGTACGTTTGTGTTTGTGTTCTGAGTTAGTGACACAATAGGTTGAGAATTGTCCTCTGATGCCAAGGCTGGGGAAAGGACAGGAGTTTGTGGGGATCGCGATGATCGACAGCATGGACCGACAATGTCGTGAGGAGGAGGAGGAGGAGGAGGAAGAAGAAGGGGGGGCCACGTTATAATCCGAGCCAGGATTTTCAGTATTCTGCTCTACTTGACACTGTAGTCGTATGATATGTAGCTATGATATGGGTTCCACTACTGTTGGAAAGTCAATGGTTACCCAATGCATGCGTTGCTCTACCATAGTATAGTGTTACTATAGTGTTGGTGAAAGAACTTGAAAATGATTAATTAGGCCTATGTAAGTATATCGGTTGATATTATAGGTTGTCTCCAGTGGTCCTGTCTAAAATGACCGAATAACTAGAGAAAAAAAAGTGGCCGAGTCAGACGGAGAGTAATGACCGATAAGACGACCCGCAATCGGAAGGTTATCGGTGTCGGTGCTTTAGTTGTAGGTCTTTTCCGCATTTACTGTAATGACTCTTTAGATAGATCTCTTTAGACATTCGATAGAGACATATTGCTAACTTGGTGGGGTTCGCTCCAAAAAGTTTTTGAAGTGGGTCCCAAAACATCCAGAACATCCACTATAGGTAGATTTTAGTGGAGGTGAACCCCGACCCCGACCCCGAGTACAGCATTTTAAGCATGCAGCATGCTACCAAAAGTTACCTTGTGGTGGTTGTTGGGGTAGGGTAGTACAGTGACCTATCTATCTACACAGAGGTTCAATGTTGGTTGGTCCTATACCACATGCACACTATTCGGATTCCGATCGGATGATTCGCCTGGGTCCCACCAAAAAGGAATAAACTTCAATCCTGCTACTACTTACTGTAAGTTAATTTTTTTTTCTTTCCCCTTGCGTCTCTTCTCTTCTTCCCTCCAGATCAACATAGAGAAAGAAATTAAAAGAAATCCCCATATCCAACAAAAATATTTCAACTCACCGACTCTACTAACTCCTCTTATTAGATCTCAATTCGACCCGTCTCGATTTGTCATTGCATTTCTTTTTTATCTCTTTACCTTAACCACAACTTGCTTTGCTATTTCATCCTTTTTTCTTTTCTTTTCTCTCTTCATATTCATATTTCTAAATTATATGATTATCCG